TAATGGCCTGTTTCTTAATTTCCTGGAGCTTGGGGAAAACAGACCAAAAAAAAAAAAAAAAATCAGCCTCTGATTCATTTTCTCCCTACCTTCCCCAAATGAAAGAGAAAAGTGAATGAACGCCTGTGGTTGACAGATGTGAGTATCTTAAGTCAAAGCCCTGCTTCCCCTGGGATGTAGAGTCTTGGCAGAACCTTCGAAGCTAGCTTCTTTCAGCAAGTTTCAATAAAGCTGCCCTGCTGTCAACAAAAGCACAAGAAAATCTCAGCTTCATCAAATCCAAGCGTTTGTCACCCTGAAGCCCGGTGGGAAGGCTTTTGGGGTGGGATAACCAAGGGGAGGGCAGGGGTGGAGGGAACACTGTCTTATTAACCGTTTTTCTTAAGGGCAGTTTGCAACTTTACTACCACCCCAACTCGCATTTACCTTGGCCTTGAAGAATTGGGACATTCTGCAGTAAGGTCTATAAACTCCCCTTTTAAGCTAGCATGAGCCAAATACAACAAGTAGCTGTCTAGGCCTGTTTAAAAAGAATAAACCCCAGCTAAGTGCATAAATAACAGCCCACTGCCTTTTATCATATAAACATGGCCAGAGAGCCAAATGCCCGACAGAGCCTAAACACAGATTCTCACTGTTATCTCATTAAGTCCATTAACTGTGCAGGAAAGAAAATGCCTTCACATCCTGGGCCTGCTTTAAACTATCAGGGAACAGATTAGAGTTAATTAATGCTGTGAACTCTAAAGCCCGGGGCGGGGGGCGGGGGGCGGGGGGGTGGGCGCCGCTCCCAGTGGAATCCAGGTCCGCACCTGTCACAGACATGAGTTCAGAAAATCTAAGGGGACGCTGACATGCCCCTCCCTCCCCCAGCCCCACACATCCCTGGTGCTGGAAACTTCAGTGCCTAGTCTGTAACTAACGAGTCAGAATCAAGAGATACACCCCCACCTCTGAGACAGAGAGTCAGTGGACTCCGTGCAGAAACTGTGCAAAGGTCTCTTGCCAATGCTCCGGAAATTGCCAGGGGTTCCAGGCCGCAAGGCGAGACGGCTAAGTTGCTTCTGGCAAGTTGGAAAAAGCTTATCAATTATTCATGCAACTGAATAAACAGGGATTTTATTTTGTAGCATGAATCAAGAGATAAAAATTCCATTTCAAGAAGGAGGGGTGGAGACTAAATGGTGAGTGTTAATTGTAAACTGAAAAAAAAAGAAGAGGGAAAGAAGGGAAAAATAAGTAAGGTCTTAGGCTTGGGTTGTGCTGTGAGCACTTGTAAGATCCCTGCCCCTAAATTTTGCTTTTCTGATTCCCCAAGACCCCCAAACTAGGAAGACAGCCAGAAGAGAAACAGAACGTGCCATCTGTTCACCCTGAATTTAGCTAACCTGCTCCCTGCGTGATGGACCAAGCCTCTTATTGACATAACGTGCCAGCAGAATGGAACCACTTGCAAGCTGATAGTGGGGGATTGCAACCCTCCCAAACACCACCTCCTTTAAGGTATTTCTGTTTAAAATCAATGTGCTGCTTCCAGACTGAAATCCAGAGCAGCAGAAAGTTTACAAACAGCTGCCTAACAAGGCGAAAGGCTCAAAGCAAAACAAAACAAAGGCAAATCCAACATGCAGGATTTTTTGGCCAAAAATGAAAGTCTCTTTTTTCATGTCCCTCCCCCACCACCCATAGCCTTGCATCTAACAGTTCCTTAAAGACAAGGAAATTGATCTAAAAGATGAAATTAAGGAGTGAATGGTTTATTAAGGCATTCACATTATTAAATTTGACCGTAGATCAGAATATATACATGTAGATGTAAAATTCATCCATCCGAGCGTTAGCAGGGGTTGTCCCTGGGTTGAAGGACTATGCATGGCTTTCATTTTTCTTCTTTCCACTTTGTTTTTTCCAAATAGTATATTAGGAACACTTAATTTTACAATAGGAAAGAAATGATAAACTTCATGCTTTTAAAATCCTACATGAAAAGCATACATTGATTTGTTTTTAATTAAGTTCTGGGGTACATGTGCAGAACATGCAGGTTTGTTACATAGGTATACATGTGCCATTGTGGTTTGCTGCATCCATCACCCCATCATCTACATTAGATATTTCTCCTAATGCTGTCCCTCCCCTATCCCCCTACCCGCTGCTATCCCTCCCCCAGACCCCCACCCCCCAACAGGCCCTGGCGTGTGATGTTCCTCTCCCTGTGTCCATGTGTTCTCATTGTTCAAGACCCACTTATGAGTGAGAACATGCAGTTGTTTGGTTTTCTGTTTTTGTGTCAGTTTGCTGAGAATGATGTTTTCTAGCTTTATCCATGTCCCCACAAAGGACATGAACTCATCCTTTTTTATGGCTGCATAGTATTCCATGGTGTATATTGATTTTTATAATGGGGGCTAACAAGAAACTTTATAACCGGCATGATTTGAAGCCACACGTCCCCGAACTTTTCTTTCTCCCGCTGACAAAAGCCTCTCAAAACAAGGACTCTATCACAATAGCTTTGCCTTTTCTTGCAACTCAGCTGGTAGATGAGTGGTGGGTGGGGGTGGGCAATGGGTATGGAAAGGTGAGACCCTGCTCCAAGCAGTTCTTCTGCACACATTAGCAGACATCAGAGAATGGAGCCCGAACCATGCTCTTCTACAGTGGTGGAGCTATGTAACTCCAGACTGTCAGTTCCACGACCAGAGAGACCTGAGTGTCTGGGTGACACCCAACCACCATTTGGCCATCCCCTTGCCCCTTGCTGTGCCTCAGTCTCTCCATAGTCTCTTTTGCTTATCAGACTTTTTAGACCCCAGACACAGAAGTTTGCATTTGACATTACTGAGTTCATGGCATGCCAACAACCTTGGTCTATGTTGGGACCCTCAGTTGTCTTATTTTCTTGTTGTATAAATTTTTCCCTTTGCCCCTCCCATCTCCACACCCATTTCCTTCCTTCCTCCTCCTAAAAGACATCCCCTGGAGTATGTGTGATGGACTGCCTTAGATACACACACATGTGAAAAGCATGCAACACTTGCATGCAGGTTTGTGTTCTGGGTGTACATGAACGTGCTTCTGCTCAGGAGACAGTGTGCTTTCTAGCTTTCTCTATATCATCGCGTATCTCATTGCTCTGACCACCATGGATCCCTCTTTGCAGTCTTCATGTTTGATAGACACTCGGGGCCACCACTTCCCACCCCATGAAGAGCACTATGATGACCCTGAGATGACACTGGGGAGGAGGAGGCTCAGAGACTGGCCTCTCTGCCTCCCTTCCCTGTCCTCTCCTCTCTAGGTGGCTCCCAAGAGGCCATCTGAAAATGAGTGGACCTGGCCTGCAGAGGCCTCCCAGCTCCAACACCCTGCAGTGCTGAGCCCAACATGGGGTCTTGGGTGATGTGAGCCACTCATCCACAAACCTAACCAGTCCCCTCTGAAATAATGGTGACATTTGCCCTCTTTCCAAGGACCTGCAGCCCACCAGGCCCCACACTGAGGGCTTTACTTGTGTCACCTCATTACATTCTCCCAAAACCTGAGGATTCTCCCTTTGCAGATGAGCAACACAAGGCTCAGAAGGCTGTGCCCAAAGGCTCAAAGTCATGTACCTCGTGAGTGGTGGCACCCAGACCTGAGCCCCGTTAGACACCTGCAGGCTTCCTTCTACCATGAGTGGGCAGCCTCTCCTCCATCCTCCATCAACAGAAGCCCTCGCTTGGGCTGAATTTTCTTGCTTCCCAAGTAAAATGAACAAAGCCAGCCCATTCTTTCTACAGACTGTCTGCAAGCCCAGTGGGTCTACACAGCTTCAAATGGTCACTTCCACCACCTCCCTGGGTGCTGTATTGAGAGGCTATTAGTGCCAGACCCAGCTGCTCGGCCACCATTCCACAGCCTGCCATGAGTGGCCCTGGCATCAGTGAGAGGTTTGAGCTGGGCTGGGGACCCAGAGATTTAACAAAAACAAATTCCCAAACCTCCCAGGCAAACAAGGCTGGCAACATAAGAGCAAGCATTTGCTCTTCACTCAACAGCACTTGCCTTTCACGCTGGTGCTGACGCTGTTCACAAGAACATGAGGCCCCATCTTTGTGGAAGTGCACCCCTTAAGATGTATCTCCACAGCTTGGTTAACACATTAAAGAATTGTTACTAGTAAATTAACAAACCATTCAGTGTGCGCAACAATTGTGGCAACTGCAGTGCTCATCATCCACGCACCCGCCCATACACTCACCCACTCACAAAACCACCCACTCATTAGTCCCCCCACCTACCCATCCATCACCTGTCCACCCACTCACCTATCCACCCACCAACCCAACCATCCACCCACCCACTCACTCACCCATCCACTCATTAGCCCCTACTTACCCGTCCGTCACCTGTCCATCCACTCACCCATTCATCTATTCATCCACCCACCCTACCATCCATCCACCCACTCACTCCCTCATCCACCTATCCATTCACTCACTCATTAACCCACCCACCTATCCACCCACCCACCCACTCACCCATTTACTTACCCACTCACATACCCATCCACCCATCAACCCACTCATTCATCCATCTATCCATTTACTCACCCACCCATCCACCCATTAGCCCATCCACCCATCCACTCACCCACTCACACATCTACCCGCTTACTCACCAACGCATCCATCCATCCACCCACTCACTCACCCACCCACCCATCCATTCATCTACCCAATTAATACATTCGTTCAAAACACGTTCACTGAACGCTTATGTGCCAGGTGCTAGGTTGAGCCCTCCAATACCATCCTCCCCCAGCCCCCATCATACAAACGCTAGCCAGATGAAGCAAGAAGAACTATACAGATTTGAGGGCTGGTTGGAGAGTCCCCAGACAGCCCAAGATGTTGCCACAACCTGCCTTCCCTGGAGGACCTAAGTAGTTTAGGTTCAGGCTGAGGAGGCAGACTTTCGAGCCCAGACCAGGTTTCCATTCTGGGTCCAGCACATACCAGCTGTGTGAGCTTCAACTTCTCTCCATGGATCTCAGCGCCTGAGAAGACTGGATCCTGCACCCAATGCTCACTTCTGGGACCTGATCTTCTAATTCCTACTGGGTGGCACAGCTTCATCCTATTTCATAGAAGAAGAAACAGATGCAGAGGGAATTGCAGGGCTGGGACTGGGGGAGGCACCCAGGGCTCAAACTGAGAAGACATTCACCTGGAGGGGCTATCTGCACCTGTGTCTGCTCAAGAGTGCGTGCAGTTACGAGGTGAGCCCTGGGCACCAGTTCGCCTCCCTGGCGCCAGCCGTGATGAGTGGCTATGTGCTAGCATTAAGATTTGCAGTCAGGGCCGGGCGCGGTGGCTCAAGCCTGTAATCCCAGCACTTTGGGAGGCCGAGGCGGGTGGATCACAAGGTCAAGAGATCCAGACCATCCTGGTCAACATGGTGAAACCCCGTCTCTACTAAAAATACAAAAAATTAGCTGGGCATGGTGGCGCGTGCCTGTAATCCCAGCTACTCAGGAGGCTGAGGCAGGAGAATTGCCTGAACCCAGGAGACGGAGGTTGCGGTGAGCCGAGATCGCGCCATTGCACTCCAGCCTGGGTAACAAGAGCGAAACTCTGTCTCAAAAAAAAAAAAAAAAGATTTGCAGTCAGGTCTTCTGATAAACCCAGTGCTTATTCTGTGATAGTTCATTTGTTCTCTCATTCATTCACTCAGCAAATGTGTAGTGAGGCATGTGCCAGGCTCAGGGGTGCACCAGGCACTTCCAAAGGACAGGGACGTGGTTTCCCTGCCTCAGTTTCTCCATCTGTAACATGCAGGTTGTTGTGAGGATCTGGTCGACTCTGGGCTGAGCCAGCATGCTCACTCTGGAGGCAGAAATGGTCACCAAGAGGGGCCCAGCACACCCAGGCCTGTCCCCTGCCTCATTCAGAGCTGCCCCCCCACCCCTTTCTTGGCCCAGGAGGCCGCCTGGATGTTTATTTGGTTATTAGATAACCAGGTCTGGGCACCGTTTCTTTGATCTGATACCCCGATAACAAGCAGAGGAAATAGACCGTTTTATAGCAAGATTGTGTGGGGTGATCTTATCATCCCGTGGTGTTTTTAACAGGGACAAGGATGAAGAGGTAGGCATTTGGGGGGGAGGGGGAGGGAAGAGAGGCGCTGCTCTGGAATGCTTTACTCCTCATTCCCCCGGACTTTGATTTTGGGGGAAGGGGTGGTGTGGGAGCTAGACATGGAGCAAGAAGCCTGGCTCCCACTCATGGACATCTGATTCAAGGCCGCTTCCCTCACACCCAGCAAGACCCCCTGAATCCTCCCAAAACTTCACCCCCCGCAGCTCTGACCACCTAGGGAGGGCCCCTGCAGTTAACAGCCCAGAAAAGCCCAGCTACGGAGGCCAAGATGCGATAATGCCCACAGACGCGACTTACGGCCAACACAGGGCTGGGACAACTCCCCAGAACAGCCTTAGGACTGCCACCAGTTCAGAAGTTCTCAAGCCATTATTTCGTAAGAGAGAAGCCAGGAACCAAGTGTGTATCACCCTTCCTTGAACAAAATGCAAGATCTGGACAACATAACTTTTTTCTTTTTTGATTAAAAATCAATATATGTTTGAAGAGAATAAATGAGTTTTAGCTTTGGTTCCTTCTTCTGCTCCTGTCTGATCTACTTGTGAGTTGAGGAGAGCCTTGTTCAAACACTGTTTGTCCATTTTCTTTGCTTTTTGTCTATTTGTGGGGTAAAATCTCTGTTACCTCGACAGGGTCAGCTCACTTGCACTGCGCCTGTTTCCTCACCTGGAAAGTGAGGAGCGCTGGACCCGGCAGCCTCCAGTGCCCTTTCCAGCCACCCATGTCCTCCCAAATGTCACCACACAGCGAGAGTGAGGATGCACCCTGCACGGGGCCCACCTGTAACTCTCAGCCTCAACACTTGGGGTTTAGCTAGGATCTAGAAAAAGCATCTTTTTTTTTTTTTTGAGACAAAGTCTTACTCTGTCACCCAGGCTGGAGTTCAGTGGCACAATCACAGCTCACTGCAGCCTTGACCTCCCAGGCTCAAGAGATCCTCCCACCTCAGCCTCCCTAGAAACTGAGATGACAGGCATGTGCCACTATACCTGGCGAATCTTTATATTTTTTGTAGAGATGGGGTTTTGCCATGTTGCCCAGGCTGGTTAGAAAAAGTACTTTGGAGTCCTGTTTCTCCCATTATTCATACGCCTCTTTGAAGAGGGGCTATTATTGGAAAACAGGCCTTGAACGGAGCAAACAGCCCAGTGAGACAGGACATGCCCTGGAGACACAGCACGTGGTCAGAGGCAGGGTCCGGGAGTCCTGCCACCTTCCAGCTGACTGGCCACAGGACAGTGGCCCAAACTCTCTGAACTCAGTTTCCCCAGTTTGTAAAATGGCCTGACCATAATTCCTACTTCTTGTCAGTTTGTTCAGATATAAAGTACTCAACCCGCCGAGGGCCTGGCCCATGCCGCAGTCTCAATAACTATCAGTAAATCCTCTCAGTTATAAATAAGCCAAAACACCTATGAATACACAAGCACCATGCTTTGTGAAAAAGCTCCTACCTCTAATAGCAGCGCAATACGTTCTGAAAATACTGAACTATGACCCTACCTAAGACATCTAGGTAACACCCATCCTCCCCATGAGAAACCACTAGTGCTTGAACCCCCATCAGCCACCTGAGACTTTGAAATACCCACATTCAGAAAGCCCAGACTGAAGTCTCAAATGGTCATGGCCAGAATAGCATGTAGTTTTAATTTTTTTTTTTTTTTTTTTTTTTTTTTTTGAGACAGAGTTTCGCTCTTGTTGCCCAGGCTGAAGTGCAGTGGCGTGATCTCGGCTCACTGCAACCTCTACCTCCTAGGTTCAAGTGATTCTCCTGCCTCAGCCTCCAGAGTAGCTGGGATTACAGATACTCACCATCACACCCCACTAATTTTTGTATTTTTAGTAGAAGCAGGGTTTCATCATGTTGGCCAGGCTGCTCTTGAACTCCTGACCTCAGATAATCTGCCCGCCTCAGCCTCCCAACATGTTGGGATTACAGGCGTGCGCCACGGTGCCCCGCCTTAGCATGTAGTTTTTAAACTACCCATACTTGTAAATTTTGTATATTGAAAGACACATAATTGCCACAAATAATCACAATTATGCAATTATAAATAATCACCCTGTACAACGCTTCTCTTGCACACAAAAGGTATGCCTTTCATGAGAACTTAATGTGCGGCTTGTAGCCATTGTCTTCCCGGGAAAGCTTGTACCGATTTCAGTTTCAGCGAGGCAACCTCGAGTCTCAAAGAAACCAGAAAAAAAAAAAAAAAGTCATTTTCAGGAAGACAATTGATCATTTTCCTCACATTTCCATTTGCATAAGATCATGCTGTGGCCTTGCTTGGGACTTTTCCCTATTCCCTGAGGCCTCTGGAGAGGAGGAAAACTAAGGACGGCCGGGGAGCTTGTGTCAGGGGTCCTTGGCTGGATTGAAGGGCCTTGTGGCTCCTGGGAGCCTCACCCAAGTTTCTGGTAAGACATCAAAAGGTGAGGTGGTGTCCCCTGGTCCCCTGTGGGATGATCAGACCATAAAACTGGGACAGATGAGTCTGTAAAACCTTTCAGAGGGGCAGGTGGAGTGCTCGCTTATCAGCCCCTGAAACGGGCCTGGCCCAGTTCTTCTCCAAATCTTTCCCCAAGGAGACCACACCTCTCTCTCTCTCTCTCTCTCTCTCTCTCTCTCTCTCTCTC